AACAAGAGGGAGTGAGACTGACGGGCATGAGGATTGTATGAGGCAGTGAGGACAGTGGCCCCAGAGTGGAGTCTGCTGAGTCACAGCCCTCCATGGACCTTACAGAATGCCTGCCAGGTGTCCTTCAGCCATCAGGAACCTCCCAGAGCACGAGGCAGGCTGTCGGCTGAAGGGCACACGGGCCCTGTGTGGACACTGCATGATCACTGCATGAATCAGACCCTACAGGGTCCAGTGTGGTCTCCTATAGAGATCATATTGCTACACTACAGCTCAAGTTCCCTTATGCACCCCGTGAAGACCCTCAGACAAAGGGCCCGCGCGGCACCCTACTCAGGACCTCCTCCCAGCCAGCAGGAGCTTTACTTCCACCTCTGCACTTTTTTTCTTGTTTTTACTTTCTTGCCTTTATATCTTTTAAAGAAATGTATCTGGACCCTACCTCTGCTATCCTCAGTTTCATTCTGTCACCGTGGGCCATGACCCCAGGGTTTGGTCGTAATAAAGCCCTTCAGAAGTCTGACTCCCAGGAGGAGAGGGGTGAGTGCTCTGCCAGCTGTCCGGTAGGGTTTCCTGGGGAAGGTGGGTGCCCCATTTTCTCTGGGACATTCTTAATTTCCCAGTACTATCAGGGATGCCAGTAGTCCAGCCCAAGCTGACCTCCAAAGAGAGGAGCCCCCAAGAGCACCCCTGATGAAGGACAAGCCACCCACAGGTTCACAGGACCCCTATACCTGCTCCATGACCTACTTTACACCATGAGTGTCATCCCTTGGTGACACCTTGGTGAGAGAGGCCCCTGCTCAGTAGGTTGGTACAGTGTCTCCAGGGTCTCTGCTGGCCAGGGACAGAGTCCACTTCAAGTGTCCCCAGAACCACCGAAGAGGTCTGCAGACAAGTGGAAACAGATGCACCTGAATCTGCAGATGGTATTGGGATGGCCTGGGATGCACGTGATCCAGTGAAAGATGGGTCATACTGGGGAGAGAGGTCCTGCCCAGTGAAGGCTGTCCCATCCCTGCCCACAAGAGGCTGCTGGGGGAAGGAATAACTTCAGTCCAAGCCCTGCGGTTGGAGCTAAGATGCTGACGAGGAGCTGTGCACTGTTCTCCTGTGGGCTTTCCTTGCCTCTGCGAATTGGAGGTAGCTATTCAGATCTCGGAGTCGTTTGAAGATTAAAATGAAAAGAGAAACTTATGTAGAACATCTGGTGCTGAGCCTGGGGCTTAATGTGTAGCCCAAGGGTGGCGCCTGGGGTTTTCTACAACTCTGCAAATTTGCTTCTCACTGGGCACGCTGGGCAGCCCCACTGCAAACCTGGCATCTCCCCGCAGGGAGAGTGTGAGGCTCTTCTGCGTGGAGGTGGGAATATCTTTAGCGTTATATCCTTTCTGAGGTCAGCACCTTGTGCTATTGCCTTGACTGCTTGCTGGTGAGTGTGTTTGTCTGATCACCAGCACTGGGCACCCACACCCCTGGCCTTACCCAGACCTCTGACTCCTGCACTGGCTGCAGCCTTGCTTTGGAGCGACAGGGACCCAAGTGCCTAAAGATCGCAGCCTAGAAGGCTCAGGTGAAGCCTGTGGGGCTGTATAAGACCAGGCAAGAGCTCTCAGAGGTGGCACTTGTTCTCTGTCTCCTGACCCTACCCCACCTTGCAGGTGGAGCTGAACACATCCTCCTGGAATCTCTTCCAAAGTCTAAGCTGAGGGGACCCTTAGCTTCCTGTGAGCTCCCCACCATGTAAACACCAAAGGCACAGGTACATCCCGCAGTCTCACTGCCTCAGTGGAAAACCCAGCTCTGAGACCACCCAGTTGAGTGGCCCTCAGTAGCTGTGACTTCTTGGAGCATCTCTTGCTCTCCATGCTCAACAACTCTACGTCACACAATCTTCATTCAAATTAACTGATTAGTTTCTGTCACATCCTGAGAGCTCAATGGGTACCCGTCATTCTTTTGTTCCATCTCTCTGGAAATATCCATCTTAGATTTCATCCAAGTTGTCTCTGCACCACCTTTGCAGTCCCTTGGTGCTTCTGGGAGGGCCTGATTCTTCCAGGAGCTACCTCGGTCCTTAAATTTGGCTTTGCAATGACCTAAAGAAAAAGGAGAGTTGAAGACTTGAGGAGAGGGATCAGCCTAGACAGAAAGGGTTGGGTGGCTTGCTCTCTCCTCCCTTTCCCACAGGACAGAGAGGTCGCCTGCTTGGGTAGAGAAAGCCCGTGTCCCAAATTCCTTCCTTGTGAGTCACACCTTTTACTCTCTGCAAATGAATAAATGAGTGCATAAGTGGTGGATTGAGCACATCCCCTGACCACAGATGGACACGGGTGTGAGACTGTGTCTGGGTGTCCTGCTGGCTGTACTTAGACAAGGACCTGAGGTCCTGAGATCAGGATGATCACTTTCCCTCAGGGCCACTGTCCCCTCGCTCTGCCTACCTCAGACCCTGCTGTCTAGAGATTCCGTTCATGCGTTTTCGCCTCCTCCACTGCATCCATGGGGGAGAAGACAGAGAGATGGGCAGCTCAGCTCTGCCCACAGCTTCTGGGGCAGAGCCCCCCAGTTTGCAAGGATGGGGTCTCCTCTGTCCTGTCTAGCTCCAGAACCCATTTGGTGAAGAACTGTTTCTTACCTACAGGAAATATGCTTTGTGATTGAAACAAACAAATAAATCAGAGGACAGACTGTTAGCAATGTCCAGCCAGCGGGGAGAGCGTTTGCTTTGCCTCTAACCTCCTTCCACAGACCATGGTTTTCAGCCTGCTGGAAAATTATCATCTACAGATGAAGGAAAAGAGGAGAATTGGGGTTTTCTTTTCAAGCCTCGCAGGCAGTCACTTTAAAACAGATGACGCATATCTCACAGAGTCGAGTGAGACAGAGAGGAGCTTAGGGTGGTCCCAGAGCCAAAATCCATCCAAGTCTGGGCTTAAACCATTTGGAAATCTCTCCTTCTCATTAAAGGTCTCAAAGACATTCTATCCTCTTAGAAGTATCCCCTTAGAATGGTTTTCTGACATCACTGTGCCTCATTTCTAGAATGTTCCTCTGAGGCTCTCTTTTCGTAGAATCCTCCTGACACCCCACCACCAGAAGGAGTTTGGTCCTTTCCAAAGTGCTTTTCTACTGAAGGTCATGGCGGGTGTCACCATGCTCCTAGGGGCAGAGGGAAGCAAGCCTAGAGGTCAGACCTCCACAGACCGTGCCTGAAGACATCAGGGTCCTCAAGTCAAACACATCAAGGCCAGGACTTCTGACTCCAAGGCATGCACCTTCATGGAGGAGGGTGTGGGGTATTCAGAGGAGGCGACTCTGAGCCACGGCCCCCAGCAGATCTTCTCAGAAGGACAGGGCTGGGGCTGAGACCTGGGTGACACAGGTGAGGGTAGAAGGTAGAGCACACAGGGCCAGATGGCCCTGCCAGGGTCTGCCACGTTCCACCCCTCCGAAGTCTGCCAGTCGTCTGCTTGCTGAGTCAGAGGGCTGGGTTTCTGGACTGGTACATCATTATTTGCCAGGATGATTCTGAATGTGTTTTACTCCACTGAGCAAAACTATCTCTTCACAGGCCATTTCTCTTAATTGATGGGTAGCATTCCTCACTCTATACAAAATGAGGAAGGCGGCTGTCTTTCCTGTCTGCTCACTGCCTCTCTGGCCCTCTATGCCCACCTAGCAGACTCTGCGTGCCCTGGTTCCCCCAGCTCCTGGCACCTTGTATGGTTGCCATCTTCTCCTACATCTCCAGGAAGATGTAGATAAAGAGGAGTTCATAGCACTGAACGAGGAGTCTGTGGTGACCATGCACTGGACCACAGATGATAGTGACAGCAACTCCAACACCAGTGAGGCCGGACCATGCAAAATGCAGGCACCAGCCCTCAAGTCCCTGGCTCTTTATACGATACCCCTATGCCCCTGTGCTAGTGGTCAGGTGGTCCTCCTCCTCACCATTATCCCATCCCTCTCTCTCCAAAGCCTTGTCCGCCTGAGAACCGAGTCCTGCAGTCTGTGCCTGAACTCCCCCAAGACACCCCTATCTTCCTATCCTTGTCTCCTTTTCCACAGCACCCCAGGAGAGCTGGCCAAGTTCTCTCCTTCTTGCAAGCCTGTTTTTCTGGGTCATCAAGTCTATTTTTCGTTACCCACTCCCAAAGTGGTTTTTAATTTCAAACGGGTTTTTAGTTACTTTGCAATTCTTCCATTGCTCATCCATTGCCCATTTAACATCACTTTGCTGTTTTATTTTGGGGATGAAATAACACACCCAAACTAAGCCTTCCATCATACTAGGCTTGTGGGAGCAGCAGGCAGGTATTCTTCTCCTGTCTGCAGCTGGGTGAGGTCTCCCAGTCAGCTCCTTGTTCTTGGTTTGCCAGTGTGGTGCTGCTTCTGATTCCTGACTGCCGCCCTGGTAAGGAGGCTCTGGGATTGTGCTGAGTCCACTGTAGGCTTGGTGAGCCGGGTCCAGGACAGAGGCAGGAGCCTAGGACCGCAGAGGGAAGAAAATCGAGAAATGAGATTTTTCTCATTTGGGCTCTGGCCAGGGTACACTGGAAGCTGACCCTGTGTGTGTGTCCCTGTGGAGCAGCTGAGGGGCTGGGCACAGGCCACACCCCTCCCTGTTGACCTGAGCTGGGGGACCGGGATCCGGTTTGGGGGCTTCTGCAGTAATCTGGAACCTGTCTCCCCCAGGAGGCTCAGCCCTTTGGTTGGAGGCAGAGTAGGGTTAAAAATTCCATCTCCCCCTCCCCGAGGTCTTTCGTATAAATGTTTGAGATCTTGGTTAAACGGATAACCTGGACCTTGTTTGATTTCTCCTTACGCCGTGAGGGTTATGTCTGGACTCTACAGTCGTCCTCACCGGCTCCGGCCTCATTCTTCCCCTTACAGGGCACAAGAGCAGAAAGAATCAAAAACACACAGTTTTTGAATTGCAAAGTCCGTTTGAAACTCACGACAGAGTTTGAGAGTCTCCCCATCTTGCCTTTTAGGCATCCAGATCCTGAGTGTGCAGACCCCAGGAGGCCTGGTGGATGGTTTGTTAAACTGCTTTTGCGTCTACTTACAAATGTTAATGACTACCTGAGCAAAAGAATAAGAAGCCCTCCCGAGGTAAGAGAGTGAGAGAAGCTGGCAGGAATCTCTGGGAATGGCTCTGCCCTAAACTCTGACATTGAGGGGACAACTGAATGTCCAAGAGCAAAGCTGGTGAGCACCCCATTGCCCAGGAGCAACTGAGCGGCAGGAAGCTCCTGAGATATCCCTGCACCCAGCGGAGGGGGACCAGGCTGTGTCACAAGCCCTCATGGCCCTGGCATTTTGTAGGGAGCACCAGGATGTTTTGGGGGTGCATCTGACGGCCTGGAGGTCCTGCAGCATCAGGTGGCAGGGAGTGATAGCAGATGCAAGCTGAACCAAGGGCCAAGGAGCCAGAAGGGGGACACTTACTTGTCTACTGGAAGTAGCTGCCACCAAGGACCATCAGATGATGATGCCAGTGTGACAGGTGGCTATGAGAACCGGGCATGCTATCCTGATGCGATGTGACGTTCCCTAAAATGGACAGCCTCTAAGGAAAAGCAGAGGGAAATCCTAAGCAGACCAAAAGGGAAGTGCTACCAGATGCAGAACGGACAATGGGGGAAGAAATTGGGTTTTTCTTTTAAAAAGCAGTTTGGAACATAGTAAAAAACAGCCATTTTAAGTGCCTATTCCTTAAACTGTTGCCAAACAATATCAGACTTGACATTCCTTCCGCACATCCGGCCCGATGTCCAGCTAACGTGGTACATTGGCCATGACTTCTTGTACAGTAGGGCTGGTACAGGTAGGTGGTGGCATCAGTCCTGCTCTGGGCCCTGGCCAAAGCCCACCAGTGCCTGAGTGTTCCCGATCCGTCTTTCTCTGGTCCCAACCAACTTCCTGGGTTGTGGGAGGGGTCACCCCGTTTCTGGCCAGAATGCTCCTAAAATCTGGGAGGAGAGGATGCCAACGAGAGTCTCTGAGAGCCCTGGTCTCTGCCTGTAATTGTGTGGCCTCGGTCCTCTCTGTAAGAGAAGGCCACCTCTGCTGCATGGCTAAGAGTGGTCACAGTTCTTGCACCTGGCTGTCGCCATGCCCAGGTGCCCTCCTCACTGTGTCCCACTTAGTTTTAACCACAGCCCTGCCAGGAGGTGCTCTCAGCACCAGCTTACAGATGTGGAAACAACGTCACACAGAAGAGACTTGACAAGGGCCAGACACCTAATTAGTGGAATCCAAGACTCTGTAGATTGTTATACATGCAGTTCGTTATTTATAAAAAAATAAAACAGAACAAAGGAACTGGCAGTGAAGGTTTCAAGGCATCACTGTGTGTAAATCACAGTCCAATTTCAGAGATGTTAAAATAATGACCTAGGGAATTAAGCAGCTGGAGTGGGTATAGCCCTAGGTCTGAGGGATCCCAAGGCTCCAGTGTTTTGTGTTGGGACACAGTGTCACTCAGACGGCCCGTACACGCTGATGTGGAAGCCCAGCAAATCACATAATGAGACAGACTAGAAAATACACAACGCATAGTGAGTGGGAAACGTCATGGCTGCCAGGGAACAAAAGGACCGTGCAGAGGTCCTTTTGGACAAACTTGCAGGGACTCTTCTGGAGGCCGAGAATAGACTCTCTTGCCCATGGAATCAAGCACAAGCTCGGCCAAGAACTATGTAGCCAGGTCCAATTCACCCGGAGAATAAGTTCCAGACCTCATGTTACCAACAAGTTGGAATGAATCGGAACACACCCAGCAAGCTGCCTGCCCCGATGGTGGTCCTGCCTGCCTGAGACTGGAGGCTCTGCTGGTGCCCACTGGTCTCTGGTCCCCTCTCTGGGGTAGAGCAGGACCTGGCTTCCCTGAGGCGGTAGCCTTGACTGAGGACTCGCTCCCAACCAATGGAGTGTCATAGACCTGTCCTCATCTGATGTGGAGTGTGATGTGGCCACAGTCTCTGGAGTGTGCCACTGCTCTGAGAGCTTGTCCCCAAATCACACCTGGCCATCACGGGCATAAAGACACAGTGATCTAATCTTCAGCTGCTTCTCCTGGGGTGCCCACGAAGTGTGACACCTCCACACCTAGCTTTTCTTTCTCTGGCTCTCTCCTCTACTACCCGCTCCTCAGATGGTCACCTGACAGAAGTGGCTGGTGGCTACTTCACCAAGCAGCATTTGTCCTAGCACGTCAAGTACTTGGTGTTAGCACTCTTTTGAGTGTTATCCAAGTAAATGTTCTTATCTCCATTTTAAAGATGATTGGCCTGAAGATCAGAGAGGCCAGTAACACATCCAGAACCACACACCCTGTGTGGATCTGTGTACTGTGTCTGGGGCAACAGACGGGGAATCAGGAGCCTATGGTACTTCTTAGACAGTAGAAGGAAAACTGTCCTAAGAAGATACTGCTGTAAAGTTCTGTGGGAGCTAATTGCGATTTAATTTCATTCATCTGAATTCCTGATATTAAGTCCTGTGTGGAACTACAGGGAAAGTGATTTCCAGGCAACCCAGGCTGTGGCACACACACACACACACACACACACACACACACGCCTCTCCTTTAACGACCCGCTTGCAATTGATATACTGCTAAGTAGCATTGCTTGTACCGGGGAGATTCTATTTCCACACTAGCAGCAAATATGACCTTTGTGTCAGCTGCCAGCTGCTTATAATTCTGACAGATGCAAGCACATTTCTGGGAAGCTGTAGCCACTCAGGACCTTGCGGATCAACAAGCAGTGCGGGCGGCTTTGGTAAGATTGATCGGCCCTCGAGAATCCCATTTACAGCCCTTTATGGAGCCTCGGTTTACCATGGCCTGGGCACTAATGACTTCGACAGCTCCGATCTAAATCTGTCAGCCAGGGCTGGTGGTGATATTAAAGAATTCTCTATTTATACGAAGCAGCAATTAGAGGAATGCTCGCCACTGGGCCACTGCTTCCAAGTAAATCCCCGGCCTTCCAAATGGTGTCATGCTTGTGGTTATTTTAATCCGCTTGGAATTTCAGGGTTATTAATGCAACGGGCCATCGTGGAGGATTAGCCAGGTTTATTTCTGCTGACATTTCAGAGAGCACAGGCAGGTTCCTGAGACGGGCCTGCCTGCCCTGCCCATGTCGGGGCAGGCGGTGGGGAGGAGGAGCAGCTGCTGCAGCAGGGTGAGCCCTGTCACCTCAGCTCTTCCCTGCCTGCTTCCCACTGTCCTGTGTCACCTCGTGTCCTGCCTCCCTCCCTCAGGGTTCACTTCTGCCCCTTGCCCTTCTAGGCTGTTCAGAAAACCTGCCCATGGAGTTGTCAGACAAAATTGAGTGTACCCACTCCATTGTGAATTTCAGATACAATGAGGATCTTTTCCCAGTGTAAGTCTGTGCAAAGCAAGGCATATCATTTACCTAAAATTCACATTTACTGAGCGTCCTGTCTTAAGGTGGGCATCAGAAAGCGACAGGTAAAATGGAGGTGCTGAGTGAAGAAGGACACCCCAAGACAAACAACATACAGGTGGGGTGGGCAGGGCTGCAAATTGAGCTCGGAAGGCCAAAACCCTAGAAATCCTGAGAATTCTCCATGTATGAGCTTATGGGAGACTTGGGCATAAGAATGAAATTTCAAACTCTGCCCCCAAGATCATTCTACTCGGTCCTGGGGCCACACTCAAGTGTCTCCTGTTGTCTGCAAAATATGAGAGACCTCTGCACCCAGGAAGTCTGCATCACCCCACCATGGCTGGAGAGGGGAAGTGGGTAGGAGGAGGGACCAAGCAAAGGGGACCCCCAGATGGACCCTGGGTGTTACTGTACCCATTTTGCCTCCTGCAAATGTCTATTTCTGTAAATATTTTTGGCAGTAAAAATAATTCTAGATAATCAGGGGCAGGTGCGGGTCAGGCAGGGGACAGGCCACAGCAAGGCTGCCAGGGATCCAGGAGGGCTGGGCATTGGGTTAGAGGCTGAGGGGCTCAGTGCAGACCCAGGGTCATTGGCTGTACTGTGGCCTGTCTATGTACCCACAGAACCTGTGGACAGGCTGGGACAGACTGACCCTGCAGAGTCAGAAGCAGATGGTAGGAAGGGATGGGGTGGGAACAGCCGGGCTCTGCCACATGCCTGGTACCACGAGGGTACTTAGCTGATTGCCTCACCAAGCCTGTGAGGCTGCAATTGTCCTCTTTCTTGCAGAGCTGAACTGACTCTCAAGGAGGCAAAGATGCTCTCTCAGGTCCCAGGGTGAGAAATTCTCAGCACCTGCTTCGAACTTGGCTTTGCCTGATTGTGGCTTCAGCCTCAGTTTACCCTCTCCCCATTGTCCTGTGCTCCAGAATGCAGAAGCATGTCCAGCCCCTCAGTACAGTGCTCTCTCTGGCTTCGGCACGTTTAGCTCTGGCTCCCACACTGCCTCCTCTGGGCAGGACTCCAGGGTGCCCACACCAGCCGACAGTTCGTTCCTTTGCCTTTCAGGCAAAGGACTCAGCTCTTCTGGATGTCACTTTCTCTTTGCTGTGTCCCCACACTTAACACTCTTCTTGGCACCCGGGAGAGGCTTCCCTAGTGTCTGTCCACTTACTCAAATCCATGTTCTTCGCTGGACTTGGCTCTGAGCCACTCAGCAGCCTGTGAGTAGGGCCATTGGTCACCTCCATGGAACCGGACCTCCCAGAGGGAGTCACTCTGCCATCTGTGCCCTGGCCTGAGGCTGGGATGCTGGCACACTGGGAACCCCCAGGGCCCGTCTGCCCAAGTGCAAATGCAAGCCAGGGCATTGATGGCTATTTTAAGACTCTAGACAATTCCTCCTGGAAATGTTGATGGCAGCAAGAACCAGGAGAGTCCTAGAGGCTGGGCCAGGCGGAGGGCCAGATGAGGTCTGCCAGGCTCTGGCTCCCATCAGGGACACCTGCCCCTAGAGGGCTCACTTTGTTTGTGGACAGAGCCCTCCCTTCAGAATGGGCACATTCAGAGAGCCCCAGGTGCAGCACACTTGGCTGACCCCAGCAAGGATCTGTGATCATGAAGGTCGTAGGCAGCACAGAAAGGGTACTGGATGGATGGATGGATGGATGGATGGGCAGCAGTGGGTCTGGCTTCGAGGCCCAAGCCTGTCACTTGTTTGCTTGTGACCCTGCAAGTCTCAGTCTCCTCCTCTGTAAAACTGATCATGACATGGGTTACAGGAAAGTGTAACTGCCAAGAAAATGGCTGACTATATTAGGGCCCTGCCTGTAACTGTGCACACACACTTTTGATGTGCAGAGAGGGGAGAGGGTGCTAGAGAGGTGGGGTCGGGGACAGTGGGGCCACTGAAGCAGAGGCCTGGGGATGACACTGGATGACCCGTTCTGAAGGACAAAGAGCCTCCTTCTCTCCAGGACTTCACTGAAGGCTTCACTGCATTTCTCAACCCGTGTGTTTTTAGTCTTCCCCTGAGAAAGCCTCCTGGCTCCTCCATGTTTTTGGAAAGATGCTTCCATTCAGGAAGAGATATGGTGGTTCTCCTTCCTCCCCACTCTCAGTCCTTGCAAAGGGTACAATAGCAGGGTCACCATCCATGGTGTCCAACATGGGTCTGGTGCAGGAAACATGGGGATCATAATCCTGGGGTTGTCCCTCTAAGTTTGAGAGACTTGACCCCTCATGGAGGCTATCAGGCTTTGGTCTCATCTCTGCCCCCCCCCCATCCTAGGCATTGTTTGCAGCAGGACATTACCACGCTCTGGATGACAGGTCCAAGGGTTCCTGGCTGCAGGGATGGATTCCCTCTTAAATTCTTCAACTTGGGAATGCATGTCCTCAGTAGAGCCAGCCTGGGATTGGAGCACGAATCTTAACTAACACTTAGCTCATGAGTATCTGGAACCAGACAGCATGGAAGGCTATTGGTTCCATGTGGGAAATCTGGTTTTTAGATCAATGCAAAATTCCATTTAGCAAAGTTCTTCCAGCTGGAAAGTTGGGCCCCGTGTTTGAACGAGTGAAGTCAGGTTGGCCAGCGAGGGCTGGGAGTGTCAATGACGGCAGAGATGGCAGCTACTGTAAGGACAGAAAAGCCAGCTGGAGCACATAGCACAAGAGGGGAGGGGCCTAGGAAGCTGGACCGGACTCCAGGGTAGGGCCAGGTAGGCCTGTGTTCTAACCCTGGGACACAGCCAGAAAGGCAAGTTAGTACTGCGTCTGTGCCTCAAAGAGAGAAAGAAGACGGAAAATAAGCAAGAAAGAGAGACATTAAGAAGGAAGGAAGGAAGCTCCTGAAAGTGCTTGCACTGCTATACAAAATGCTGTAAATGGGGTAACTTAAAAATAACAGAAATTTCTTTCTTACAGTTCTGGAAGCTGGAAGTCGAGGTCAAGGTGGATTTGGTGACTGGCAAGGGCTGACTTTTGACTTATGGATACAACCCTCATGCCATGGCCTCTATGGTTTATGGGTGAGGATCTCATAGGGCTGCTTGGATAAGGGCACTAATCTCCTTTATAGGGGCCCTGCCCACACTATCTAATCATCTCCCAAAGGCCCCCACGTCTTAATGCTTAGAATAAGACCCAGAAAGGATGGAAGAAATGAAGTAAAGAAGGAAGGAAGGGAGAAAGGAAGAAAGGAAGATAGAAAGATAAACACACCTTTTTTTAATAGCCTGTGTTCTATTTAAAGTTCATCATTGCTTCCTGGAAGGGGGTGTGCTGTGTGTGCAGAGACACCCACGGTCACTGTTCATTTACTTCCCCTTACCCAGCGTCACATGTGCTGCATCCCCGATCTCGGAAGCCCAGAGGGGCATCTCCACCTGTTGGCTTCCATCTCACCCTCTGTCAAATGTTAAGTCTTGAAGGAAATCCTCTTTCTCAATAGAAAGGAAGGAAAGAACAGGCTGTTGGGGCCTGCAACCATGCATCAACCCCAGCGCTAACGCCAACCGGTTGCCTGGGTAGTTTTCCCCACACAGTTGTTCAGCTGAGTGGTTGATATTCCTGACTCTGCACCGAGATCCCACACCCAGGCCTGGAGTGTGACATTAGTGGTGTCCAGGGCAGAGCCCCGTGTGGGCCCAAAGCACAGTTCCCAAGGATGGGCAGGGGCAGAGAAGGAGGTAGGTTCTCATGGAGGACCATCAGGATTGACTTGGTTGGCTCTGGGCTCCCTGATGAAGAGTCTAGACCAGCGTTGGTAAACCTTTCAGAGCATTCCGTGACCACAAACAGCTGACTACAGCACATGTGTCATGGGTCACCACCCCTGGTACAGACTGTAGACTCCATCAAGCAGGAGAGGGCATGGAGCTCCACTTTGCCCATTTGGACCATTGTGGACAAGCTGCCTCATCTCTCTGAGCCTCAGTTTCCCCTTTCATAAAGGAGCACTAGACACCTGTATATCGTCAAATCCTTAGATGCTGCCAGGCATGCAATCAGCATCTAGCAACCAGCCTCTGCCTTTATAATTTTATCAGGCTCCAGTGTGGCTCTCAATCATGCTGAACCAAACCAGCAACTCAGAGTCCAAATAAGAGGAAGAAAGCCTGGGTCCTCTGCTTGTTTTAGATTTGGTTACAAATGATTCACTGAAGCACATGACACGGTCCCTTGGGGCAGCTTAGAGAACATGGTGAAATTTTAAACCAAGTTTGGCTAAAGACAGAGTGATTAATGGCTCACACAGGTCCTCCTTTCTTTCCTCTTCGAAAGCCACAGAAACCCAGTCAACTAGATTAAATTAGCATTATGTGGCATCTACACTCAAAGCTGTTCCCATCAATGCGTTCATTAGCTAGCAAAAGTTTGATAAAACCTCTTTGGATAGCTACTCATTTCTTGCCCCCTCTGTTCTTTCCCAATCAAAAGATGCCCCCCAAGTTTCTGGGCAGTCATCAACGCCCTCCCTAAGTTTTTCCCCAAACTATTGCTTACGAGGTTGGAGCTTCTGCAGAACCATAGAGCAGCCTTTAGAAAGATATAAATAGGGCCAATTTAGACATCTTTCTTGGTATGGCTTCACCAAGGAATAAAGGACAAAATAAAGAGATTCCTGAGGCTTTCTTTAAATGTTACTTCTAGTCTTAGCGGTCTCCTCTTTGAGAGCAAATGGATCTCAATGATGCCAATCCTGCCAGCAGGAAACGTGGGATTTATGTCTTA